CACCTCGCACCCCACACCCCGCACTCCATGCCACACACCCACACCCCACAACACACACCTCGCACCCCACACCCTGCACCCCAAACCCTGCAACCCACACCCCACACCTCACAGCCCACACCACACACCTCACACCCCACATACCGCATCCCACACCCCACAACCCCGCACCCCACACCACACATCCCACAAACCCCACACGACACACCCCACACGACACACCACACACCCCACACCACCCACCAAACACCACCCACACACCACTCACACAGCACACCACACACCCCGCACCCTGCACCCCGCACACTGCACCCCACACCACACATCGCACAAACCCCACAACCCACACTCCACAACCCACACCCCACACGACACACCACCCACCCCACACCCACACCACCCCCAACCCACACCCTGCACCACACATTCCACACCACACACTCTGCACCCCACACCACACATCCCACACAACACACTCCGCACCCCACACCACAACCCACAGCCCACACCACACATCCCATACAACACACTCCGCACCCCACACCACACCCCACAACCCACAGCCCACAACACACCTCGCACACCACAACCCACACCCTGCACCCCAATCCTGCAACCCACACCTCACACCCTATACCACACACTCCACACCCTGCACTCCACACCCTGCACCCCGCACCCTGCACCCCACAAACCACACCCCACAAGCCACACCCCACAACCCATACCCCGCACCCCACCCCACACTAAACACCCCACACCCGACACAACCCATAACCCGCACCCCACACCAAACACCCCACACCCCATAAACCCCACACCCTCCACCCCACAACACACACCTCGCACCCCACACCCTACACCAATGCCACACACCCACACCCCATAACACACACCTTGCACACCACACCCTGCACCCCAAACCCTGCACCCCACACCCCGCACCATACACCCCACACTGCACACTCCGCACCACGCACACGGCACCCACACCACACATCCCACACACCCCACAACACACACCTCGCACCCCACACCACACACCCCGCACCCCACACCACGCACACAGCACCCACATCACACATCCCACAAACCCCACACACTACAACACACACTCCGCACCCCACATCCTGCACCCCAAACCCTGCAATGCACACCTCGCACCCTATACCACACACCCTGCAACCCACACTCTACACCCCACACGCTGCACCCCGCAACCCACACCCTGCACTGCGCACCCCACAAGCCGCACCCCGCACCCCACAAGCCACACCCCACAAGTCACACCCCACAACCTATAACCCACACCCCACTCCACACCACACACCCCACACAACCCATAACCCGCACCCCACATCACACACCCCGCACCCCAACCACACACGCCACACCACGTACCCCGCCGCCTACACCACACACCCTGCAGCCCACACCACACACCCCACAACACACACCCCACAACCCGCACTCCACACCATGCACCCCACACCACACGCCCCGAACCCCAAACCACACACGCCACACCCCACACCACACGCCCCGCAGCCCACACCACACACCCCACAACACACACGCCACACCCTGCACCCCACACCCCGCAACCCAGCACCCCGCACCACACAGCCCACAACCCACACCACACACGCCACACCCCACATCACGCACCCTGCACCCCAAATCACATACGCCACACCACGCACCCCGCAGCCCACATCACACACCCCGTAGCCCACACCACACCCCGCACCCTATACCACACACTCCATGACCCGCACTCCACACTCTGCACCCCGCACCCTGCACCCGGCACCCTGCACCCCACAAACCACACACCACAAGCCACACCCCACAACCCATACCCCGCACCCCACACCACACACCACACACCCCACACCCATAAACCCCACAACTCACACCCCACAACGCACACCTCGCACCCCACACCCCGCACCCCAAATCCTGCATCCCGCATCCCACACCCCGCACCCCATGCCACACACCCACACCCCACAACACACACCTCGCACACCACACCCTGCACCCCAAACCCTACACCCCACACCCTACACCACACACTCCACACCCCGCACCCCATACCACACATCCAACAACCCGCACACCACACCCCTCACCTTGCACCCCACACCCTGCACCCCACATCCTGCACCGCACACCCTGCACCCCACACCATACACCCCGCACCCCACACCACGCACACGGCACCCACATCACACATCCCACAAACCCCACAACCCACACCCTACACACACTCCGCACCCAAACCCTGCACAACCCTGCAAGCACACCTCGCACCCATACACACACCCCATAACGCATCCACACCTGCACCCCACCCTGCACCCGCAACCCACACCTGCACCCAACCACAACCACACCCCCAGCACAACAACCCACACCCTGCACCCCACACCCTGTACCCCAAACCCTGCAACCCACACCCCACACCACATGCCCCGCCACACATACCCCACACCCCACACTCCATACCCCACACCCACACCCCGCTACTCGCAACCACACATCCAACAACCCGCACACCACACCCCTCACCTTGCACCCCACATCCTGCACCGCACACCCTGCACCCGACATCAGCCTTTCACAATGGCTCAGGTTAGTGATGGAATTTAACGTTGGAATCTAAGTAGTGGGAGTCCTGCAGTGTGGTGGTTAGTGCGCTCGCCTCGCAAGCGAGGAGACCTGGGTTTGATTCCCGGGCAGGGCAAAGGTTAGGCAAGTTCCCTTACTCCACACGGCTCTGTTTACCCAGCATTAAGTCGGAACCTGGTTGTTGGTCGATTGGTGGATTGCTTTCTGGGGTAATAATCCACTTCCTCCCCAAAATAAATTGGTCACTCAATCCATGACTGTTTATGTCATGCCGCTGTGCGCAATTAGTGCATTTCAGCCACAAAATATACAGTCAATTCACTTTACAGTATATTCTGTAAAACGCTTTGAGATGTTGCAACAACAACAACTTGCATTTATATAGCACCCTCCACGCAGGTAGCATCTCAGAGTGCTTAAAACGCTTATCAATGACGTGATACAGAGCTTAATCAAATGCAACAATTATTATTATTGTGCAGTCAATATTCTCAAACCTTGGGAATGTCAGAAATGATTTCTTTGCATATTGCTGGGCTTTATTTCTTGCCATCTGCTGTTTTAAAAATCAAAGTTATCAATAGCAGTGAAATGAACTGGAGCATTTACTGAGGCTGACACAGTTGTCTGCTCATGTGTGTGTAAGTGCGAGAGCGGAGCTACAATTCTGTACTTACAATTCTTAGAGCAGAAGCTCTATAGGTACTGTCACAATGGTGTAAGTCTCCCAATCGGAACAGAGACTAGAAAATGTTATATTAGCATTTAAGAGCAATAACGTCTTTCCTCTGTTCAGGATGTCAATAATGAGGAGGTAGACATTTTAAATAAGAGCAAAAAAATTAAAGGAGAGAATAGGAAAAATGTCTTCGTACAGATAGATTGACACAGAATGCTACAAACTGTAGTGAAGGCAGAATTAATAAATTCGGTTAAAATTGAATTAGATAATAATACTTGCATTTGGCATAGTCATTTATCATGAGTCGAAATGTCTCAAAGCCCTTCACAGGATCTTACTGCAAATCATAGAATCATAGAACCATACAGCACAGAGAGAGGCCATTCGGCCCATCGCGTCTGTGCCGGCTCCTAAAATAGCAATCCAGCCCAATCCCACTGGCCCGCTTTCTCTCCATTGCCCTGCAATCCTGTCCTCCCCAAATACCCATCTACTTCTCCCTTAAAAGTTGTTATTGAATCGGCTCCCACTGCCCTTTCAGGTAATGCATTCCAGATCCCAACAACTCGCTGGTGAAAACATGTTTCCTCACCTCCTCTCTGGTTCTTTTACCAACTATCTTAAATCAGTGTCCTCGGGTTACAGTGGGAACAGTTTTTCCCGGTTCAACCTATCAAATCCTCTCATGATCTTGAAAACCTCTATTAAATCCCCTCTTAATCTTCTCTGCTCTCGGGAGAATAATCCTAGTTTCACTAACCTCTCCTCATAACTAAGGTCCTTCATTCCTGGTACCATACTGGTAAACCTCCTTTGCACTCTCTCCAATGCGCCAACATCTTTCCTAAAGTGCGGTGCCCAGAACTGAACGCAGTCTCCAACTGAGGCCTAACAGCATTTTATAAATATTCAACATAACCTCCTGGGGCCTTTGCATTCTATGCCCCTATTTATAAAGCTTAGTATCCCGTATGCTTTTTAAACGGCTTTAGCTACCTGTCCTGCCACCTTCAGAGATTGGCTGATGTGGACCCCCAGGTCTCTCTGTTCATTTGCCCCCTTTAAGACTGTACCATCAGCTAATATTGCCTCTCCTCATTCTTCCTCCCAAAATGCAACACTTCGCATTTCTTCACATTAAACCTCATCTGCCACGTTTCTGCCCATTTTGCATTCTATCTAAGTCCTCTTGGAGGCTGGTGCTGTCCTCCTCACCATTAACTACTTTTCTTGGCTTAGTATGGTCTGCAAATTTGGAAATTGTGCTCCCTATATCCAGGTCCAGATCATTAATATAAATCAGAAAGAGCAGTGGTCCCAATACCGACCCCTGAGGGACACCACTACGCACCTCCCTCCCGTCAGAAAAGCAACCGTTTACTACCACTCTGCTTTCTGTCTCCCAGCCAGTTCTGGATCCATGTTGCCACAGTCCCTTTAATACCGTGGGCTTCTCTTTTGTTTATAAGTCTCTTATGTGGCACTTTGTCAAATGCCTTTTGAAAATCTAAATAAACTACATCTACTGCACTACCTTCATCCACCCTCTCAGTCACTTCAACAAAACATTCTATCAGGTTTGTCAGACACGATTTGCCTTTAACAAATCCGTGTTGACTGTCCTTTATTAAACCATATTTTTCTAAGTGAGAATTTATATTGTCCCGGATTATAGTCTCCAGAAGTTTCCCCACTACTGACGTTAGGCTGATTGGCTGTAGTTCTCAGGTTTATCCTTCTGCCCCTTTTTGTACAGGTGAGTAACATTTGCAGCCCTTCAGTCCTTTGGTACCACTCCAGTGTCCAAGGAGGATTGAAAGCTTGTGGCCAGAGCCTCCGCTATTTCTACCCTTGCTTCCCTCAGTAACCTAGGATGCATTCCGTCCGGACCGGGTGACTTATCTATGTTGAGCATCGACAGTCTTTTTAGTACCTCCTCTCTGTTGATTTTTATCATATCCAATTTCTGTTCACACCCCTGCGATATTGTGGCATTGGTTGCATCGTCTTCTTTTGTGAAGACAGTTGCAAAGTACTTATTTAGTACATCAGCCGTGCCCTCTGCCTCAACAAGATGTCCAATCGGGTCCCTAATTGGACCCACCCCACCTTTGATTAACCTTTTACTCTTGACACACTTATAAAATACCTTAGGGTTCCCTTTTATGTCTCCTGCTAATCTTTTGTTGTACAATCTCTTCTCCCCTCTTAATTCCCTTTTCACTTCTCCTCTGTACTTACAACAAGATACAACAACAAGATTCCATTTATAAAGCGCCTTTCACGTCAGGAGGACGTCCCAAGGCGCTGCACAGTTGGGTCATGACCCGAGCAGGGGGGAAATGGTCAGGGTGAGGGGAGGGAAGGGAGGGAGAGAGGAGGGGGAAATGGTCAGGGTGAGGGGAGGGAAGGGAGGGAGCGAGGAGGAGGAAGAGAGTCGAGAGGGGAGCTGAAGGCACAGTCAAAGAGAAAGGTTTTGAGACCGGCCTTGAAGGAGGAAAGGGAGGAAGCGGCGAAGGCACTGGGGGATGGAGTTCCAGAGCCTCGGGGCTGAGAGGCTGAAGGCCCGACCACCGATGGTGGGGCGGTTGGGGCGGGGGACGTGGAGCAGACCGGAGCCAGAGGAACGGAGGGTACGGGCAGGTAGGTAGGGGGATAGTAGGTTGGAGAGGTAGGAGGGAGCAAGGCCGTGAATGGCCTTGTAGGTGAGGATGAGGATCTTGAAATCAATCCTCTGGGGGATGGGGAGCCAGTGGAGGCGAGCGAGGGTGGGAGTGATGTGGGCGCGAGGCCTGGTGCGGGACAGTACACGAGCTGCAGAGTTCTGAATGACCTGCAGCTTGTGGAGGGAGGTGGCGGGAAGGCCGGCGAGGAGAGAGTTCCCATAGTCCAGCCTTGAGGTGACAAAAGCGTGAACCAGGGTTTCAGCCGCGTGAGGGGTGAGGTAGTGCCGTAGTCTGGCGATGTTCCGAAGGTGATGGAAGGCGGTGCCAGTTGTAGTGCGGATGTGAGGGAGAAAGGACAGCTCAGGGTCGAACAAAACGCCGAGGTTCCTGATGGCTTTGAGAGGTGGAGAGTGCAGCCTTGGATGCTGATGGTGTCAGCGCCTGAGGTGCGGAGGCGCTGACGTGAGCCAATCAGGAGGGCCTCGGTTTTTCGCACGTTGAGCTGAAGAAAGTTGTCTCTCGTCCAGGACTCGATGTCGGACAGACAGCTGTCAGGACATCGGTGGTCGTGGAGTTGAGAGTAGAGGAGGAAAGGTAGAGTTGGGTGTCATCCGCATACATGTGGAAGTTAACTCCATGTCTGCGGATGATGTCACCGAGGGGGAGCATATAGAGGGTGAAGAGGAGGGGACCGAGGACAGAGCCCTGAGGGACACCACATGAGACAGTACGGGGGGTGGAGGAGAAGCCATTCGTTGAGACAAAGTGAAGACGGTGAGAAAGGTACGACCTAAACCATTCAAGGACAGTGCCTTGAAGGTTGAGGTGGGAGGACAAGCGGTGGAGTAGGATAGCGTGGTCGACCGTATCGAATGCTGCCGATAGGTCGAGGAGGACGAGGAGACAGAGGGAGCCCTGGTCACAGATGGTCAGGATATCATTGGTGACCTTGACCAGGGCAGTTTCTGTGCTATGGGCAGCACGGAAACCTGACTGAAGGGGTTCAAAAAGAGAATGGGTGGGAAGGAAAGAGCGCAGTTGGGAGGCGACAACTCTTTCCAAGACCTTGGAGAGAAAGGGGAGGTTGGAGATGGGCCGGTAGCTTGATAGCTGCGACGCATCAAGGGAGGGTTTTTTCAGGGTGGGCGTGATGGTGGCAGTTTTTAATGGAATGGGGACAGAGCCAGAGGAGAGGGACAGGTTGATGATGTCAGTGATATGTGGGGCAAGAAAGTGGAGCTGGGAGATAAGGAGTGGAGTGGGGATGGGGTCAAGGGAGCAGGTGGTTGGTTTTAGGGATAGGATGAGTTCAGTGACAGAGGGTGGGGAAACGGGTACGAAGGTGTGTAGGGGAGGATGGGTAGGAGTCGGAGTGTGGGAGGGAAGGGGTGGGTGGTGGGTGGAAGTTGGAGGGGAAGTGACCGCGGAGCGGATTCCCTTGATCTTGGATTCAAGGAAATCCAGCATCTCCTCGCAGTGAAGGTTACTATATTCTATTTGATTATCCTGTGTGTTTTGGACCTGACATTTGTCATAAGGAGGACATCTGTCCTCCTTTTTCTGTTTTATTTTAATCCCAATTTCCTTAGTCATCCAGGGAGGTTTGACTGTCCTTCCTTTCCCCTTTGTGGGAATGTATTTGCTCTGTCCCTGAACTATCTCCTCCTTGAAGGCTTCCCATTGTTCGTTTGCTGTCTTACCTGCCAATCTTTCTTTCCAATCTATCCTGGCCAGGTCCCTTTTTAGCTCACTGAAATTAGCCCGCTTCCAGTTGATTGTTGTCCTTTTCCATAACTATTCTAAATCTAATGATATTGTGATCACTGTTATCCAGATGCTCTCCTACTGAAACCTCCTCCAATTGCCCCACTTCATTTCCCAGATCCAGCTCTGCTTCCTTCCTCATTGGGCTGGAAACATGCTGATCCAGAAAGTTCTCCTGCAGGAATTCCTCCCTTCCTTGCCCTTTACACTGTTATTTTCCCAGTCCATGTGAGGATAATTGAAGTCCCCCATTATCACTACTCTATTGGTTTTGCACCTTTCTGAAATCTGCTGCAGATTTACTCATCGATCTCTTTCCCACTATTTGGAGGTCTATAGTAAATACCTAACAGAGTAACAGCTCCGTTTCTGCTCCGTAACTCTTAACCAAATAGATTCAGTTTTTGGACCCTCTAACACATTGTCCTTTTCCAGGACCGTGTCCCTAATGAGTATTGCCATCCCTCCTTGTTTCCCTTCCCTATCCCTCCTGATTACAGTGTAGCCAGGAATATTCAGCTCCCACTCCTGTCCTTGCTTGAGCCAAGTCTCCGTAAATACCACTACATCATAACCCCATGTGGCAACTCGAGCCGCAGCTCACCAAGCTTATTGGTCATGCTCCGTGCATTTACACACATGCACTCCAAGACCGGCTTAATCCGCTCTACATTTCTCCCCGTCTCTTTCCACTTTTTGCTGGACTATTCCTTGTTTCATTTCTATTCGTCTCCCCTCGTTCACTATGTAATTTGTTTCCACTCCCTGATGCTACATTCTGATCTCCATCCTCCCTCGAAATCAGCTTAACTGTATTTTTAGACAAATGAGGCTGCCAATTTTTGCACAGCAATATCCCACAAACAGCCATGAAGTGAATGACCAATGACCAACTCCTTTCCCTCTTTTAATAGTGTCATGGGATCTTTAATGTCCACTTGAACAGACAGATGAGACCTCTGTTTAAAGTCTCACCTGAAGGATGCAACCTCGGACAGAACTCCACTGGTGTGCCAACCTAGATTATGAGCTCAAAGACCCGAATGATCCCACAATCTTCGAACGCAGAAGCGAGAATGCTACAAACTGAGCCAGGGTGATGCTTAAGATGCTTCTAAGAGGAACACGGATGAGTATGGGAAGCAAGTGGGAAGCAAGCAGATGAATGGGTTTGTGGCTCATGTGGACCTCATGGTTGTACAGTAACAACAAGCAGAGAGAAGAAAAATAGCTCAGCAGATTTCTGCTTACCTGTTTTGCTTTGCTGTGAATAATAGTTGTGATAGAATTCGACAAGATGCGTGGGGTCAATCCCCTGAACAGCCCCTTTTTTCCATCGATTTGGACAATATGCCAGGCTGTGAAGAGAGCTGCAGGAACTAACACTGCTGTGTAACACACACTGTATAACACACACACACAGTGTAACATACACACACTGAATGACACACACATTATATGACACACACTGTATGACACACACACTGTATGACACACTGTATGACACACACACTGTATGAAACACACACTGCATGACGCACACTGTATAATACATACTGTATAACACACACACACTATATAACACATACACTACATAACACACGTATGACACACGCACTGTATGACACACACACAGTATAATACACATGGTATAACACACACTGTGTAACACACACATTGTATAACACACTGTATAACACACACACTATATAACACACACACTCCATAACACACACTATGACACACACACTACACAACACACACTGTATAACACACACATACACTGTGTAACACACACTGTGTGTATGACAGACACACTTTATGACACACACATATAGGGTATAACACATACATACTGCATAACACACAGTGTCACACTGTATAACATACACACATTGTGTAACACACTGTGTATAAAACACACACGCTGTATAACACACACACTGTGTAACGCATATACTGGATAACACACACATTATACAACACACATTGTATAACACACACTACATAACACCCACTATACAACACATACACTGTATAACACACATTGTATAACACACACTATACGACACATACACTGTATAACACACACACTGTGTAATGCATGCACTGTATAAGACACACACTTGTATAACACACTGTATGGCACACACATTGTATGACACATATTGTATAATACATACACTGTCTAACACAATCACTGTATAACACACACACACAGTATAAAACACACACTGTATAACACACACATACCCAGTATAACAAACACACTGAGTAACACACACTGAGTAATACACACTGAATAACACACACACATACTGTGTCACACACACTGTGTAACACACACATAGTGTATTGCACACATTGAGTAACACACATTGTATAACACAAACACATTGTGTAACACACACACACTCTCTGTATAACACACACACAATATGTCACACATACTGTATAACACACACAGGCTGTGTAACACACACAGACTGTATAACACACTGTAACACACACACAGTGTAACACACACATACTGTAACATAACATGTCGGAGCAGGAGGAGGCCATTCTTCCCTTCGAGCCTCTGCCCCGCCATTCAATCATGTCTGATCTTCTAATCTAACTCCAGCTAATAACCTGACCTGCCTTATCCCCATATCACCCCAACCCCAGCCAGCCTCCCCTCCCCCCCAGCCTCCCCCCCACCCCCCTGCCTTATCCCCATATCCCTTAATCCCTTTTGCAATAAGAAACCTATCTATCTCAGTCTTGAATATGTTCAAGGACTGAGCGTCAACAGCACTTTGGGGTAGTGAGTTCCATACATTCACTGCCCTTTGAGTGAAGAAGTTCTTCCTCTTTGATGATCTTATTCTCTTCAACCGTGCCTTCACCTTCTCTCTCGACTCTCTACCCCTTCCTCGTTCCCTCCCTTCCCTCCCCTCACCCTGACCATTTCCCCCAATGCTCGGGTCCCGACCCAACTGTCCAGCGCCTTGGGACGTCCTCCCGACGTGAAAGGCGCTCTATAAATGCAATCTTGTTGTTGTTGTTGTTAGAGGTTTCTATAAGATACCCTCTAATTCTTCTATATTCTAGAGAATATAGGCCCAAATTGTTCAGCCTATCCTCGTAACTCATCCCCTTCATCCCTGGTACTAACATAGTAAATCTACGCTGCACCCCCTCCAAGGCAAGTACGTCCTTCCTTACATGAGGAGACCAAAACTGCACACAGTATTCCAGGTGTGGTCTCACCAGGGCCCTATACAGTTGCAGTAAGACTTCCCTACTCTTATACTCTTTTCCTTTCATAATGAATGCTAACATACCGTTCGCCTTCTTCGCCTGCAGCTGCACCTGCATTAACTTTCTGTGATTGGTGTACAAGGACACCCAAGTCCCTCTGGACGCTAACACGTCACCTAAACTATCTATGTCTCGCTGCATTTTTTTAATGTCGTCCTCTGTGTTGACACTTCCTCCTAGTTTTGTGTCATCCGCAAATTTAGATATGTTAGCTTCGATGTCCTCATCTACATCGTTGATGTAGATGGTAAATAGCTGAGGCCCAAGGACTGATCCTTGTGGCACTCCACTAGTCACATCCCGCCAATCCGGAAAGGACCCGATGATCCCAACTCTTTGTTTCCTACCCGTTAACCATTCCCCAATCCGTTGATATGCTCCCCTCAATTCCATGGGCCCTTATGTTTTGGACTAACCTTTTATGCGGCACCTTATTCAACGCCTTCTGGAAGTCCAAATAGACCACATCCACTGATTCACCCTTATCTAGTTTACTGGAAATATCCTCAAAAACTCTACGAGATTTGTCAAACATGACTTCCCTTTTGTAAAGTCATGTTGACTCGGCCTAATTATATTGTGCCCTAAATACCGCACTACCACATCCTTAATCAATGATTTTAAAAAATTTCCTATCGCTGATGTGAGACTAACTGCCTATAGTTCCCCATCTTTTCCTTTGCACCTTTTTTAAATTGTGGTGTGACATTTACGATCTTACAATCATGGGGACTGTTCCAGAATCCAAGGAATTTTGGAAGATCAGACACAAGGCCTCCACTATCTCATCAGCTCCTCTTTTAAAACCCCGGGATGCAGACCATCCGGACCAGGGGATTTGTCACTTTTTAGTGCTAACAGTTTCCCGAGCACCAATTCTCTACTAATGAAAATTTCCCTAAGTTGCTCCCTGTCCTTATCCCTTTGGTGCATCTCTATTGTTGATAGACTTGTTGTGTCTTCTCGGGTGAAGACAGATGCAAAGTACCCAGTTAGGGACTCTGCCGTGTTCTTGTCCCCCATTATAACTTCTCCCGTCTCTGACTGAAGTGGACCTACATTTACCCTCACCCGCCTATCCCTCTTAATATATTTGTAAAAGCTTTTACAATCAGACTTAATGTTCGTTGCGAGCTTACTCTCATACTCCTTTTTCTCGCTCTTAATGAGTTTTTTAGTTTTATTTTGCTGGTTTCTAAAACTCTCCCAATCTTCAGATTTGCTGCTTTTCTTGGCAGTTTTATAAGCCTTTTCTTTTAATTTGATGCTTTCCCTAACTGCTACTAGTTAGCCACGGATGAATTGCTTTCCCTGTGGTACTCTTATTCCGCAAGTGAATATGCGACCGTGGAGAATTTTGCACTACATCCTTAAATATTTGCCACTGTTGGTCTACATTTTTACCTCTTAATCTTTGTGGAGTCCTGTAGCTCAGTGGTTAGAGCACTCGCTTTGCAAGTGAGAGACCGGAGTTCAATTCCAGGCAGAGAGCGAAACCTTGGGCAAGTTTCCTTACTCCACACAGAGCCTAATAATAATCCCTCCAAAACCAAAAACAATAATAAATTGGTCATTTTCAATCTACGACTGTTTGTGGGACATTGCTGTGCGCAATTGGCTGCCGCGTTCGCCCACAAATATACAGTCAACTCACTTTACAGTGTGTTCTGTGAAGCGCTTTGGGACGTCCTCCCGACGTGAAAAGCGCTATATCAAATGCAAGGATTATTATTATTATTACTGTATAACACATACACAGTATAACACACACTATGTAACACACACTGTATAACACCCACCAACATACTGTGTAACACAAACACTGTATTACACACTGTATAACACACACAAACGGCATAACACTCACATACAATAACACACACACTGTGTAACACACACACTGTGCAATACGCACAAACTGTATAACGCATACAAACAGCATATAACAGTGTGTAACACACATCTACACAGTATCACACACACTGTATGACATACACATACACTGTGTATAACACATACACTGTATGACATACACATACACTGTGTATAACACATACACTGTATAGTAACACACACGGTGTAACACACACATTGTATAACACATACACTGTATACCACACACACATACACACACTGTATAACACACGCACTGTGTAGCACACTGTATAACACATACACTGTATAACACGTGTACTGTAAAACACACTATATAACACACACATACACTGTTATAGTGTCACACAATGTCACACACTATATATCACACTGTGTAACACACTGTGTAACACACACACACACATTGTGCAGCACACCATATAACACATACACTGTATAACACACACTGTGTAGCACACACAGTGTAACACACACACACTGGATAACACACACACTGTGTAGCACACACAGTGTAACACACACACACTGGATAACACACACACTGGATAATACACACACTGTGTGTGAGTATAAGTGAATATTAAATGCACTGTCTCAAAAAGTCATTGTTGATCTCATGTCAGAAAGGCAGAGACGCAGATTTGATTCCATGTTTAAATGGGAGTTGAATACCTTAGAGCACTAAAATATATGTTGAACCGCTCACGTATGTAGAAAGGTCTTGAAGGGCTTTAATTATTGGAACATAATGGTATTAAGGGATATAGAGAAAAGGTACAGCGATGAGATTAGACTCAACAAACTGAATGGATGGATGACGCTCGCTGCTATTTTGGCCTTACCGTAGGTGAAAAAGCCGGGCAGGTAGAGAACCTTGTGTCCAAACAGGTTTGTCCCCATGATCGGTGGCAATGGCTCATGGCCAACCTGGAATCAGACAGCAACGGATGAGGAGCTTAACCTCAGGCCATCAGCACAACTAACAGTCAATAAACTACCACATACTCACACTGACAGTGAGTGGCCCCACAAACACACACACACACACTCACACTGACAGTCAGTGCCCCCCAATACACACACACACAGACAGTCAGTGCCCCCCAATACACACACACACTGACAGTCAGTGCCCCCCAATACACACACACACACTGACAGTCAGTGCCCCCCAATACACACACACTGACAGTCAGTGCCCCCCAATACACACACTGACAGTCAGTGCCCCCCACACACTGACAGTCCCCCCAATACACACACTGACAGTCAGTGCCCCCCAATACACACACACACTGACAGTCAGTGCCCCCCAATACACACACACTGACAGTTAGTGCCCCCCCCAAATACACACACACACGCGCACACACACTGACAGTCAGTGGACCCCCAATACACACACTGACAGTCAGTGCCCCCCATTACACACACACACTGACAGTCAGTGCCCCCCATTACACACACACACACACACACACGCGCACACACACTGACAGTGGCCATACACACACACACACTGACACATTACACACACACTGACAGTTAGTGCCCCCCAATACACACACACTGACAGTGAATGGCCCCCACACACACACACACGCGCGCGCGGACACACACAAAAAAACAGACACACACACACACAATGACACACACGGACACAAACAGTGGCAGTCACACACAGACATACACTGTCACCCACAGACACAGAGAAACACACACAGTGATAGTCACACACACATACAGTGAGTCACACACAGACACACACACAGTTAGTCTCGCACAGTCACAATCACATACACACAGTGAGTCACACAGATACACACTGACAGTCACACACAGACACACACTGTGACAGTCTCACATACACACACACACAGTGACAGTCACACACACAGTGACTGTCACACACACAGCGACTGTCACACACACAGCGACTGTCTCACAGACAGACACACACAGTGAGTCACACACAGACACACACTGTGAGAGTCTCACACACACACACACACAGTGACAGTCACACACACAGTGACTGTCACACACACAGCGACTGTCACACACACAGCGACTGTCTCACAGACAGACACACACAGTGACAGTCACACACAGACAAACACACACACAATGACAGTCACACACACATACAGTGAGTCACACAGACACACAGAGTGACAGAGTGACAGTCTCTCACACACACGACAGTCACATTCACACACACAGTGACAGTCACACAGATACACACTGACAGTCACATACAGACACACATACTGTGACAGTCACACACACACAGTGACAGTCAAACGTATAGTGACAGTCTCACACACACACACACACAGCGATAGTCACACACACACAGTGATAGTCACACACACACACAGTGACAGTCACACACACACAGTGTTAGTCACACACACACAGTGACAGTCACGCACAGACAGTCACAAAGACACACACAGTGACAGTCACACACACACACAGCGATAGTCACACACACACAGCGATAGTCACACACATACAGTGACAGTCTCACACACAGTGACAGTCACACACATACAGTGACAGTCACACACTCAGTGACGGTCACACACACAGTTACAGTCACACACACACAGTGACAGTCACACACACACAGTGACAGTCACACACACAGTGACAGTCACACACACAGTGACAGTCACACACACAGTGACAGTCACACACACACAGTGATAGTCACACACACACGGTGATAGTCACACACGGTGACGGTCACACACGGTGACGGTCACACACACACAGTGACGGTCACACACACACAGTGACGGTCACACACACACAGTGACGGTCACACACACACAGTGACGGTCTCACACACACACGGTGACGGTCTCACACACACGGTGACGGTCACACACACACGGTGACGGTCACACACACAGTGACGGTCACACACACACGGTGACGGTCACACACACACGGTGACGGTCACACACACACGGTGACGGTCACACACACGGTGACGGTCACACACACGGTGACGGTCACACACACGGTGACGGTCACACACACGGTGACGGTCACACACACGGTGACGGTCACACACACGGTGACGGTCACACACACGGTGACGGTCACACACACGGTGACGGTCACACACACGGTGACGGTCACACACACACGGTGACGGTCACACACACACGGTGACGGTCACACCCACACAGTGACGGTCACACCCACACAGTGACGGTCACACCCACACAGTGACGGTCACACCCACACAGTGACGGTCACACCCACACAGTGACGGTCACACCCACACAGTGACGGTCACACCCACACAGTGACGGTCACACCCACACAGTGACGGTCACACCCACACAGTGACGGTCACACCCACACAGTGACGGTCACACCCACACAGTGACGGTCACACCCACACAGTGACGGTCACACCCACACAGTGTCGGTCACACCCACACAGTGACGGTCACACCCACACAGTGACGGTCACACACAGACACACACTGTGACGGTCTCACATACACACACACTGTGAGAGTCTCACATACACACACACTGTGAGAGTCTCACATACACACACACACAGTGACAGTCACACACACAGCGACTGTCACACACACAGCGACTGTCTCACAGACAGACACACACAGTGACAGTCACACACAGACAAACACACACACAATGACAGTCACACACACATACAGTGAGTCACACAGACACACAGAGTGACAGAGTGACAGTCTCTCACACACACGACAGTCACATTCACACACACAGTGACAGTCACACAGATACACACTGACAGTCACATACAGTCACACATACTGTGACAGTCACACACACACAGTGACAGTCAAACGTATACAGTGACAGTATCACACACACACACACACACAGCGATAGTCACACACACACAGTGATAGTCACACACACACACAGTGACAGTCACACACACACAGTGTTAGTCACGCACAGACAGTCACAAAGACACACACAGCGACAGTCACACACACACACAGCGACAGTCACACACACACACAGCGATAGTCTCACACACAGTGACAGTCACACACATACAGTGACGGTCACACCCACACGGTGACGGTCACACCCACACGGTGACGGTCACACCCACACGGTGACGGTCACACCCACACGGTGACGGTCACACCCACACGGTGACGGTCACACCCACACGGTGACGGTCACACCCACACGGTGACGGTCACACCCACACGGTGACGGTCACACCCACACGGTGACGGTCACACCCACACGGTGACGGTCACACCCACACGGTGACGGTCACACCCACACGGTGACGGTCACACCCACACGGTGACGGTCACACCCACACGGTGACGGTCACACCCACACGGTGACGGTCACACCCACACGGTGACGGTCACACCCACACGGTGACGGTCACACCCACACGGTGACGGTCACACCCACACGGTGACGGTCACACCCACACGGTGACGGTCACACCCACACGGTGACGGTCACACCCACACGGTGACGGTCACACCACACGGTGACGGTCACACCACACGGTGACGGTCACACCCACACGGTGACGGTCACACCCACACGGTGACGGTCACACCCACACGGTGACGGTCACACCCACACGGTGACGCTCACACCCACACGGTGACGCTCACACCCACACGGTGACGCTCACACCCACACGGTGACGCTCACACCCACACGGTGACGCTCACACCCACACGGTGACGCTCACACCCACACGGTGACGCTCACACCCACACGGTGACGGTCACACCCACACGGTGACGGTCACACCCACACGGTGACGGTCACACCCACACGGTGACGGTCACACCCACACGGTGACGGTCACACCCACACGGTGACGGTCACACCCACACGGTGACGGTCACGGCCACACGGTGACGGTCACGCCCACACGGTGACGGTCACGCCCACACGGTGACGGTCACGCCCACACGGTGACGGTCACGCCCACACGGTGACGGTCACGCCCACACGGTGACGGTCACGCCCACACGGTGACGGTCACGCCCACACGGTGACGGTCACGCCCACACGGTGACGGTCACGCCCACACGGTGACGGTCACGCCCACACGGTGACGGTCACGACGGTGACGGTCACGCCCACCACGGTGACGGTCACGCCACACGGTGACGGTCACCCCACACGGTGACGGTCACGCCCACACGGTGACGGTCACACCCACACGGTGACGGTCACACCACACGGTGACGGTCACACCCACACGGTGACGGTCACACCCACACGGTGACGGTCACACCCACACGGTGACGGTCACACCCACACGGTGACGGTCACACCCACACGGTGACGGTCACACCCACACGGTGACGGTCACACCCACACGGTGACGGTCACACCCACACGGTGACGGTCACACCCACACGGTGACGGTCACACCCACACGGTGACGGTCACACCACACGGTGACGGTCACACCCACACGGTGACGGTCACACCCACACGGTGACGGTCACACCCACACGGTGACGGTCACACCCACACGGTGACGGTCACACCCACACGGTGACGGTCACACCCACACGGTGACGGTCACACCCACACGGTGACGGTCACACCCACACACGGTGACGGTCACACACACACACGGTGACGGTCACACACACACACAGTGACAGTCACACACACAGTGACAGTCACACACACAGTGACAGTCACACACACAGTGACAGTCAAACACAGTGACAGTGACACACACAGTGACAGTCACACACACAGTGACATTCACACACACAGTGACAGTCACACACACAGTGACGGTCAAACACACACAGTGACGGTCACTCACACACAGTGACAGTCACACACAGTGACAGTCACACACAGTGACAGTCACACACAGTGACAGTCACACACAGTGACAGTCACACACAGTGACAGTCACACACAGTGACAGTGACACACACACAGTGACAGTGACACACACACAGTGACAGTCACACACAGACAGTCACAAAGACAGTCACAAAGACACACACAGTGACAGTCACACACACACACACAGCGATAGTCACACACATACAGTGACAGTCACACACACAGTGACAGTCACACACAGTGACAGTCACACACACAGTGACAGTCACACACACAGTGACAGTCACACACACACAGTGACAGTCACACACACAGTGACAGTACACACACACAGTGACAGTCACAAACAGTCACACACACAGTGACAGTCACACACACACATACAGTGACAGTCACACACACACACAGTGACAGTCACACACACAGTGACAGTCACACACACAGTGACAGTCACACACACACAGTGACAACACGGTCAGTCACACACGGTGACGGTCACACACACGGTGACGGTCACACACACAGTGACGGTCACACACACAGTGACGGTCACACACAGTGACGGTCACACACAGTGACGGTCACACACAGTGACGGTCACACACAGTGACGGTCACACACAGTGACGGTCACACACAGTGACGGTCACACACAGTGACGGTCACACACACAGTGACGGTCACACACACAGTGACGGTCACACACACAGTGTCACACACAGTGACCCACACACACAGTGACGGTCACACACACAGTGACGGTCACATACACAGTGACGGTCACATACACAGTGGCGGTCACATACACAGTGACGGTCACACATACACAGTGACGGTCACACACACACAGTGACAGTCACACACACACAGTCACGGTCAACACATGCAGTGACCAGTGCACGACACACACAGTGACAGTGACACACACACAGTGAGGACACACACAGTGAAGGTCACACACACACAGTACGGCCAACACACACAGTGACACACACACAGTGTCGCACACATACACACAGTGTCACACACACAGTGACAGTACACACAGTGACAGTGAACACAGTGACACACACACACACAGTAGTCACACAGTGACATACACACACAGTGACAGTCACACACACAGTGACAGTGACACACACAGTGACAGTCGACCACACCACACGTGACACACACACACACGATTAGTGACGTGACACACACAGTGACAGTCACACACACAGTGACACCACAAGCGATAGTCACACACATACAGTGACAGTCACACACACAGTGACAGTCACACACACACAGTGACAGTCACACACACACAGTGACAGTGACACACACACAGTGACAGTCAAACATACACACACAGTGACAGTCACACACACACACAGTGACGGTCACACACACACACAGTGACGGTCACACACACGGTGACGGTCACACACACAGTGACGGTCACACACGCACACAGTGACGGTCACACACACAGTGACGGTCACACACAATTTAAGGTAGCTAGCAGCAAACGAGTGAAATTAGTTCTAGAATTACGGAGTGCTCCTTACACTGAACGAG